TGTTTCCCACTTCCTCTCTTCCTTTTCAGTAAGCATATGCACTCTAGGCCAAAACTTAAAAAGTGGCGCAGAAAAAAAAGTGACAACCTGGCCACAGAAGAAGCCGGGGGCTGGGCCAGCTGATGCCCAGCACATTCCAGCACTGGCCCAATGCTGCCAGCGTGAGCCCTGGGGGCAGGCTGCACTCTGCCTCCAGCTGTGGCACCTCAGCAGTAAACAGCAGGGTTGGGTAGTGAGTGGGAGGGCGCAGAGGAGAGAGGCTCCCAGCCATCGGAAAAGGCTTCCTTGCAGACGTGTGCTCTGCCTCCTCTGCCCTCAAAGCCAATCGTCACACCTGTACAGTGTCATCTTCAGAAAGGCCAATTCTAAGTTTTAGGAAAATCCTGGCTTCTATAGGATAAAAGACATAAACAAATTCCATTGATCAAAGAACCCAGGGATCTGCAGGCCACTATCCGTCAGGGAGAGGGAGTTCAGCCATGCCCTGAGCTCCACATTCAGACACTAAGAACTGCCCCTGCCAGGTGTTCGGGATGCTATACAGTCTATGACCAAACTAAAGGAGCGGGGCTTTCTAACAGGACGAAGAGGCCTGGGTTAGCACAGAACACAACAACGTGGGCTGTTTTCCAGAAACAAAATCCTGCTCCTCCCTAGTCACGAGGGTCCCAGACTCCAGGCTGTGAGCATGTTCCTGCCTGGGGACAGAGTGAAGTGCCAGCAGAGGCCACTCGCTGATTCCCTGAGCAGCGTGGATATGCCAGTGGGGAGGGGGAAGGGTGTACCAAGACAGAGAACAGGCCCAAGGCGAAGGAAAGACCCAAACAAGCCCCCAACTGAAGGGGCCCTGAATTCCCTCTTGACGACACTGGCAACCCACAAAGCCCAATCACATGCATGACCACGATTTTCAAAGGAGAATTGTTCCCTGGTGTCTCACCCAGGCACCCTAGGAAATGCCAAGGCCTTGAGAGGGAGTATGGAGAGAAGCCCACGGAGCAGCAGGCCTGGCATGACTGGAAGCCAGCTAGCTCAGGACAAGGTCAAAACACGCCTCGGAGGCTCCCCTGGGGGTACTTACCAACTAATTCCTGGGGATCTCGCTTCTCTACTTCTGTGTTATCCTGCAAAAGAGAAACGGATACAAGGGGGTGAGCCGGGCTCTCAAGCCAGAGGTACTTTCTTCCCTGAGGCCACTCAGGGTTTTAAGGAAGGGGAAAGGCAAAAGCACCAACAGGGTCACTAAGGGTGAGCCGGTGCTTCTGGTCAGACAGCTCTAGCACCCAGAGCCCCTAGCTCTCCCCTCACTGCAGCTGGTGCTCCGGGCCCCACGAGGTCTGTCCTCCACGGTCTCCAGCATGGACCTATACCCCTGTGGCTGGGGACAGTGAACACCATGTACACCACTTGAACTCTGCCCACTGTCTCCTCGAGCCCCAGGAGGCTTGCCTGAAGGGACTGCAGAGCTCTGGGCCCTGCCACCTCTCTCCCTACTGAACGTGGCCAGCAGACCCAGAGTGCCACTGTCCCTTCTGCTAGGACTGAGGATGCAAGGGACGGTGACTTTGCAACATCCAGTTCCGAGACTGAAACAAAAGATTAGCTGCTCCCAAGAGGTTTTTATTATTAGTCTGAATAAAAATGAGGAACTCTACCGCAGTTTCTGATAAAGGAGTGGCTCACAGAAGCCCAGGGCAAACACGTCGTGTGCCTTTAATCGTGACCCTGTCTCCACGCGGCCTCTCTGGCTCTCTGCTCTCTACACTGGCTTTGTATTCTCTCCAAAGAAAAGCTTTCTCCGATCCTTAAAGCAAACACTGCCTGCACACAGCCTGTGGAAACCCGAGAGCAGAGGCTGCTTATCAGACGTCCTCTGACCTCACTGTTCTAGAGTCTGCGCTTCATTCCAACCAAATCGATGCCGCCACGGTCCAAGCCCCATGTTACAGGCTTCTGGCACAAAGGGGGGGGGGTGTCTTCCACCGTCCCAAATGGAAAACGGCAAGAACACACCTGTTTTCCCCACTTCTGGGTAGCCAATACCCAGCTCTCAAACTCAGATCAGTGACCAAAAGTGCTATACATGCTAAAGACCAAAAAGACCGAGATGGCAGAAGCTGAGCTCAGAGAGTTGCTGGGCCTCATTCCTTTCCCCCTGTCGGGAGGGCTCAGACACTAAGGACCCTGCAACAAGAACTCCGCATGCACAGCCAGAGCGCTCTCTGGACTCTGCTTCTACAAAGAAAGGCCGCGGAGTGGCCGAAAGAAGGTGCGAGGAGGGCTCCCAAACGCGACGGCTCCATGCAAGACCAGGCTGGTGGTTCTTCCCCGGAAAGTCCCTCCTGATCTGGGCCAGGCCCAAACCCCCTCATGCTGGAACACTGCAGCTATTCATTCAACCTGGAAGAGCACAATGTCAGCAGGGCTGCTTAGCAACCGGTCTCTTCCAGCCACCCGCCCCCTGCCAATCAGGTGGGCAACGAGGAGGCAGAGCGAGCTGGAAGAAGGGCTGTGCCAAGTTCAGGTTAGAACCATAACTCAGCTGCGGGTCCTACAGAACACGCCAGACTCTCAGAGGACCAACAACCCTCCTTTGTAGCAGCGAGTCCAAAGAAACTGCCGTTAAAGAGCGTGTCGGTAATGAAATGTGGACTGTGCCGTTTCCCCCAGAGGACAGCTTTCTGCGGCCGAGTGTGGGAAAACATCAGCTGGGCACATCGCGACCCCCAGCCCGCTGGCTGGTCAGAGGGTGCCAACCTGCTCACTCTCCCGCAGTCCCGCAGCGCCAGCCTGAGGCTCAGGCCGCAGGCAGAGTGCGCTTTCCAGCTGGGGTCTACCTAGCCCAGCTCACAGGACTGGGAAGTTAGTCATCGAACATGTGATGTCTCTTCAAGAAAACCATATTCGTGACTTCAGGGGCCTCCCTGGGGAGCCTCCCATGACTTCTGTGACCCTGGAGATGGGGGGGATTCCTGCATTGCACAAAGGCCTTGCTGGCTTAGCCGAGGTCGGTTAGTCATGCCTGCTTCAGAGAGAAGAGACGATGGAGCAAAATCACAGATGTCACGTATTTTTTTCCCTTTTGTTTTTGGCTTGGCTCCCTGTTCCCCCGTATTAACCTTCCTACACTTGAGGGAAAAAAGGTAAGCTGGATAGCTAGTTTCAAGTTGCTAACTAGTTTAGTCTTTGCTCCTCTGCCCTTAGTACAAAATAGGGTGGAGAATGTCCAGGATGCATGCGAGCCCGTGAGTGAGGACTTCCTGGGTTTATTTTCCCCCCATAAGGTGCGTGCCTTTGCCAAAAAGAGACAGAGAGACAGAAAGGGAAAGTGAGAAACCACCCCCCAACCCAGGGGCATGGCCACGCTGCAAAACCTCCTCTTCTCTCCTCTCAGGATTTTGGGCACCCAGATACACACACCTAGCATAATTTTCAAGGATCTGGGACTCAGAACGTGACAGGCCATGTGGGAGTCTGAGAGCCTTAACCACCATGCCACCTGCTCACCCTAAAGGCTTTATTTTTTAAGTTTTTTTAAAAAGAATTATTTTATTTTAACTTTATTTATTTTAATTTGACCAGAGAGGGACAGAGTGAATGAGGGAGGGAAAGAACCAGAGAAAGAGCGAGAGACAGAAGAGAGAGAGAAAGAAAAAGTGAGAAAGTAAGCTGCGAGGTCTGGGACTTGAACTGTAGTCGGCCATGTGGGAACCTGGTGCCCTTAACACCATGCCACCCGCCGGTCTTCTTTTTTAAAAGTGTTTCTTTTTCTTCTGGGGAAGGGAGGAGAGAGACAGGCAGAGACAGCACTCTAACAGGGTCTTCATGCCACAACCCACCTGCAGCTGCTCCCAGCCCAGAACACATGCATAGGCCCGCTGTGCACAGGGAGGCCCCAGGATGTGAACCTGGGATGTTCCCATGTGGGTCTGGCTGCATTATCATTGCACCTCTGCCTAGCCCTGCCGAAAGAGAATCCCCTGACCTAAACACACACACGATCCTGCACAGCTCTAAGCCAGACGAAGAGTGGCCAGGCCGCTAAGGTCTCCTGGGAAGTCTCGAGTGTGTCATTCAGACTTCTGTTGGTGTCACAGGCACCCCTGAGACCCAGAAGTCCTGGAGAATCACACGGTGGGAATCTGCACTTCCTGTTAGCCGCATTTGCCATGTTTTAGAAAGTAATTCTGCCCTGAGACCAACAAGCTGGGCTGTGAGCTACTGCACGTGGACATCTGGGTCACTAACAAGCTACTCCAAAGAAAGACAGCTCAGACTCCGAGATCCTCAAGTGCCCACCGCCCAAAGAGCTTAACCTCACAGCCTGTCCTGAGCACAGTGAAGGGCTTGGTTCATCCCATAACAATGGGCCTGAAGCCACAGCACCCGTTCTTAAATGGAGAAGGGTCCAGAATCCCAGTAACACCGAGGAAAGCGCAGACAGAGCGCTGAAGACAGTGAGGAATACCCCCCAAATATCCCAAAGATGTTTTGAGAACCATTTAAGCTAATCTATTCATTAAAGCAAGTTTCATCTAACAAAAGCAACCTCTACAAATGGCAGGGAGATCAGGACTTGGCGGGGTCACACTCAAATCTAAGACCCAGGGAGATACCCTCCTGTCAGTCAGGCCTCAGATACTAAGAATTAAGCCAGGAAATAGACCAATCATCCGTGATAGTTACAGGCATAAGCCACAGTGTCTGAAAAACAGACGAAGTGTTTTAAATGACAGAGCTCCGGAGAAGGAAGGAAGGTCTCCACTACTACCGCCAGCAGTTCAAGATGGAGTCACAAAGCTCACTCTGCCCTTTAAGAGGCAGGGAGGGAGAGAGTTATGAGGCTACGAGCAACAAGAAACCACTGTTCCTCTTTTCATCCCCCAAAGCGTGCTTCAAAATGCACAGGGAACACCTGTCTTGACTTGTCTAAACCCATCCTTCCGGCCTCCTTAGGTCAAAGTGAGAAGCCAGCCTGGAGCTGTATTTACCAGACATCTGCGTCAGCCCAGAGGCATGGAACCCACAGCCAGGGGCACAGCTGAACAGTCGTGCCCTGCAGGCGGACAGGAGCAGGGCTCCACCCAGTTTCCAAGAGGAAGGCAAGCAAGCAGCTCCTAGGAGAAAAGACCAGGTCAACCTCTTCTACTCCCTACTCCAAGTCCAATTAAGACACATCGAACCCCTCAAGGGCCTGCAAGTGGCATGGTGGTTAAAGGTGCTGGACTCCCACATGACCCACCATGGCTTAAGTCTCAGATCTAGTGGCTTGCTTTCTCACTTCCCCTCTCTCTCTCTGTCTCTCTCTGATCAAACTGGAAAATAATAATGATAATAATAATAAAGTTAAATAAAATAATTCTTAAAAAAAAAAAAAGACACATCGAACCCCTCAAATCCGCAGCTTTCCAGGAGAAGCCAAGTGAGAAGGCAAGGAAAAGAGGAGAGGGTGAGCACAGGCCACATTTGGAGCTGGCTGAGGAAACCCAACTCAGACTCCACTTTCGTCTGTACCTCGCCCTCCCTGGACTTCACATGAGACCAAAGTCCCAACAACCAGAGCATGAGGTGGCTATAGCAGGCAGGAGCTGTCCCTGGAGAACAGTGATGTGAACCTGCCAGTTCAGTTTCTTTCTTTTTTTTAAAGTTTTATTTAATTTTATTTATTTAAATTTGATCAGAGAGGGACAGAGTGAAAGAGGGAAAGTGAGAAAGCAAGCTACCAGGCTTGGGACTCGAACCATGGTCAGTCATGTGGGAGTCCAGCACCCTTAACCACGCCACCTGCTGGCTCTGCCAGTTCTGTTTCTTAATTGTGACAGAGACTCATGAGAATGCACCGGCCACGCTGTAAGTGGATGGTAGGGGCTCTGCTGTTCTCAGGAATTACAGACCCTGGAAAGTGGTTTTCCTGCAGCGAATAAAAAAGCCCAGCCCTGACGAAGCTGGCTAGAGCAGAGGAAGGAAGTAAAAACAATATGGCCCCATGAGGCTGGACACGCTGCCATCTGAGCTGGGAGTTTACTCAGCAGCGAATATCGGGTCCCGACTGAGAACGGAGGTTTATTTACAGCCAGCAATGCTTTGCCAACTGCACACACGAAGCTTCCGCATCTCACTTGAG